TTGTTTGTTATTCATATTTATATATTATTCATGATAATTAATTTTATAAAAATTTATCATAAAGTGTAGTGTGAGATGTCAAAAAGTGTAGTATGAGTTGTAAAAAAGTAGAAGTATTTATAAGTAATTTTTATTAGAATAAAAATTGTAAAAATATAATGAGTTGACGTGAGACTCATTTAAAATGGTTTGGAGTTGGTTATATCGTAGATGCTCTAAGATGATTCATTATCTTAGTATGCACTATGTTGACATCGTGAGACTGGATTGTCTAATTTTAATTTTCCTTTGTGCAAAATGTTCAATATGGTGCCCAACTCTTAAATCATGTACTTGTTGTTGGGCAGATAAAAAAATGAATGAAATTAATACGATATTGTTCCATGTATTGACATTTATGCATAAGAAGACTTTGAATAGACGTTCCTGTCAAGACTTGTTGTTGCCTATTTTGTCCAATATTAAATCATTACATGTGTGTTTCAACCCAATTAATGATGTAAATGAATTTTATTATTTTTTCTTAATATATATAATCATTAAATCCTACAAAATAAAAATTTTAATCATAAAATAATAATTTTAATAACTAATTATATAATTATTGTCACAAACTAAATTAAATTAAATTATTTTAACAATATTTTATTTTTAAATTTAAAAATCAGATTAACTTTTAAAGTATAATCCTTAAATTCTAAAAAATAATAATTTATTCAACAATCATTTAATTATCTTTCACAAATTAAATTAATTTAAGAAATTTTAAATTTATAAACTATAATTAAAAATTAAAATGTAAAAAAAGAATAAAAGCTACTTTGAAAAATTCGGATAGTCAATCTAGATTTCTTAACAATAAATTTTGAAAAACAATTTTCTCAATATTGAAAAATCAGGATTGGAAGGTAGGGAAATATATATATATATATAGACTATTGTACATATTTATTTATTTTATAATAAAAATAAAAAAAGTTGGACCTTGAGGTAATTCTTTACAAATTAATCTTATGAGTAGTAAAACTCTCACTTAAAAGTTATTTTAACTCTATATTAAAGAATGAAAAAACAACATAACAACCACAAAGAGTCCATGGATTACGGCGTTTCCAACCCACCAGATCAAGCAAGATGACAAACAAGACTACTGTTTGCTACACTATACAACTTTATCAAAAGTAAAAAGGAGTTAATACTGTAATGTCGATATGAACCCTAGCTCTTTGGAAAATTTACGTCTTAAGCCAATCTGTTGACAAATGACAAAAATCAAGAATATTTTCCAATGGATAAACCAAGAGTTCATTATACGAAGTGGTTTTAATAAGATTTGCAGGAGGAAGCATTTTTCAGGCAACCTCACATGGGAAAAGCGAAGATAACTAAAAATATCAATGTATGAATAGGGCAAGTAGGGTATGAGGTATTTCTGTCAAACTTTGATCCTGCATCTATTTATTATTATATCTTATGTACAAAGACTTGAACGCTTCAGGTCTTTGCCGTGAGAGAATATGTGAAGATTAATTCCATCAGAATATTCTACTCAGGCCAGTTCAAACATTATGCAGGTGCGGGACGATATAATATGTAAAGCGATGCAATACATAAAGCACTTTTATATATTATATTTCATTTTGTTGTATTTCAACTAAAAAAAACTTTATATTTTACAATTGATTATTTTCTAATACACACATACATATATATATATATATATATTCAAGAACTATTGCATAACAATCTTAAATAATTAGAATTATATAATCTGCTAATTAATTGCTGAATTGTAAATTACATAGACTTGTTAAGTCGTTACACAATGTTAATGTATTGAACATCCATGTTAACATTATGTTCGTATTGAATATTGGTTGTTAACAAAAAATTAAATAAATCGTAAATTGTACAATTTATAACTATGCTAATGATTTTGGATAATTTTGTTCTCGTTAACTTTTATATTATATTTCATTTCACTTTTTATAATTGTTCAAAAATTATTTAAATTCTCTCATTGCTAATTGTCGACTATTATTTAGTCTTAGAATTATTATTTTTATTTATTTTAAAATATACGGGTACTGAATACTTTTTTAAATGTTTGTTATATATAAAGGAAATATAAATTATCATTCATCTCTACATTTTTACCATTATATCCTTAATTATTTTTAAAAATATAAATTATATTTTTTAAGTAACAATCACTGAGTAACTTTATGAATAATTGTCAAATATATTTCCTTTTATATATTTTTTAAAAAATATTAAGAGGTTATGCACTTATACCTCTTTCTCCCCGGTTAAAATAATGAAAATTGTTTGTATAATTAGCTTTATAGTTGAATTGCCACTTTTTCTGGGATAAATCATTCTAAATAGAATTTATTTTGATTCAAAACATTATTCAACTTGGTTTTCAAATAATCAAATTGATACAAAATAATTTTAAAAAGGAAAAATTCTTCTAGAAGAAGAGAATTATTGAAATTAATTAACATAAAAAAAAACTATGCATCTCCGTGTATTTTAAAATAAACAAAATTAATATTAATTAAGATTGACGGTTGATAATCACTGTTTGAGTTAACTTTTTATTATTAATTTTTTATTTTATATATATATAGATATAAAAGATAAAATAAATATAATATAAAAAACTATAAGGATAAAATTGTTCAAAGTTTATGTACATCAAAATGAGATATTATTTTTATTATTTTTATTATTTTTATAAATTATAGATTATAAGACTATGTACAATAGCGATAATAGCAAAAGTAACAGTTGCGCCTAATTAAAAAATATCATATATAATAATTATATTAAACTGATGATTATACTAATGGATTGATACCTGTATTGACTATTTTAGTTAAGATTTTTACAAACTATAACAATTATGATACACATTTTTTTTTGACAGAACAAAAGTTGATTGAATAGCAATTAAGATACACATTTAATTAGAACAAAAGTTGTTCGTATAATTGTGTCAAAATTTATGTG